CAATGAAGTACCAGCTAAAAGATAACATTTATGCTTCATAAATGGGGGAAATCAGGAGGACAAAGCTGCCACTGGGACATAGCAATTCTGAGAAACAGCTAGACACCTGTTAACTAATTCCTTAAGTAATGTTTAGGTGTAATTCATGGAAATTATATTCTAATGTTTGCTCTCATGCTCTGCAATCCTAATCTCACCACTAATTGCCATTGAATTGAAAATGAGCCATAGCTGACCCTCCAGTAGGTTTTGTGTCTGTAAGTCACACTGGAAGAGAGTCTCCAATTTATTTTTATTTTTCATGGAGTAATTAATTGGTGAATTTAAAATGCTTGCTTTTGAATTGGCAGTGCAATTCCCTACCAAATTTATTGAGGAAGTAAAAATAGGCTTTCCTTTTCAAGGAAAGAGGTTATAGACATCGCACCCTCCCCCCATGAATGGAGACCAAGGTAATGGAAGAGTATTTGGGATTAAAATAGTCTTGAAGTGATTTTAGGGAAATACAATCTATCACAAGTTCTTCATATTGTTCAAACCTTCAGTGCAATTTTACAATAGTAATGTTGAAAAGTTGCTTGGTTCATTAATTTCTAGAAGAATCTTAGGAATTATTATGTTTTAGAACTTTGAAGGATATTTGAATAATGCTTATTAATTACACAATTGCACATTTTGGACTTTCCTATTCTTAAAAGTTGACAGCTTTTGGCAAACCTTTGTAAGCTTACAAAGCTGTCTGTTGTGTTGGAAAATTAACTTTGTTCTTTTCCACTCATATTTGCATGTTTACCATTATTTCATGTTCATAGTGTGCCAGGAACTAAGTATTTTCCAAACTCTATCTATTTTAATCCTCTATGATAATTCCTAATACCACTATTTTATACATCATTACACAGGAACTAAGGAGATTGGCCTTAGATCTCACTTAAAATTGCAATTCTATACCCTTTCACCTAACACAAACACAATTCTGTAACCTTTATACACCACCTATAGTTTCTCATTTTCACTTCATGTGCCATTTACTAAGATGCTATGTAATTTACTATTTTGTTAAATTGACTCTTTTTTTATTACCTGACTCCCCTTATTGGGATGAAGTAAGACCAAGAATTATCTCTCTTTTATTCACTGATGTATCCAGATAGACATTGATTGAATTGCTATTGTTACTGTACAAGCCATAGTGACTCTATGAAAAACAGATCTGTACCCTGTCCTAATGTGTGTCATCTTTACACTTGACACTACAGAGCCCCTTACAATAAGTAGTCACTGTTTCTATCCACCGGGTTGAGGGTCTTGTTTTAAATGCAATGATAGAATTGCCCGACTATACAGATTGTGAATAAGTGATGGTGCTGAAGCTTAAATCGATTTCTGATTCAAAGGCTTTGATCTTCTCCTCAAAACCAGATCCAGAAAAATAGATGTCTGCCCTAGATAAATAAAGAATCCTGGGATAGTACAAAATATTTAGCTCTTCACTGCTAACCAAAATTTGAGCCATACAATAGTATCTCAGAAGACAGGCCTGCTAACAAAACCTCACAGCCTTTAAAGCTCTGGGTAACCATTCTATTCTGCACAGTCAGGGTCACATGGAGTTGTAATAGGCTTGATAGCAACTAACAATAGGAATAACAACAATGTATTGTTGTCATTAGGTGTAAGGTCCGCTCAAACTGAGAGCAAATTTGTATACAGTAGAATGGAAGCCTGACAAGTCTTGCACCATCTTCATAATTCCCACTGTGCTCAAACCCAGTGTTGCAGTAATTGTATCAATCCTTCTTATTGTTACTCTTTCTTTTGTTATTTACTTTGCCAAACAGCCAAAAATATGAGACAAAGCAACACCATTCTTGCTTCTAAATAACACCCTGAGTTCACTTGTTCCAAGAAAAAAAAAAACACAACAAAACACGACACAGCACATTGCCCTTGCGTCAGAACTAACTCATTGCAGATCCTCCAGTAGATTGTTGGAGTCTATAAATTACGTGGGAGAAGATTATCCATATTTCTCCCATGGAGCCTCTGGCAGATTCAAACTGCCAGAATAGCATACTTTTTGGTTAACAGAGTAACTGCGTATGTATTATGCCACAATTCAGTATTCAACAGCACAAAATCCAGAGGCACTGATTTCCCCCCCCCCCCAACCTGGTCTTCCTTATTCACTGTTCAACATTGATATGAGACAATTGAGAATACCATGCTTTGGGGCCAGGTGCACCTTGGTTTTTAAAGTTACACCCTTCTTCATTAACACAATAGAGAGTCTGGCAGCAGACTTATTCAATGCAGTACATCATTTAATTTTTTTGAATGCTGCTTCTGTTGATGTTAATCATTTATCTAAGTAAAACGAAATCCTTCACAATGATAAATTTTTATGTTTTATCATGATGTTGTTTGTTGGTCCAGTTGTGAGATGTTTTGGGTTTTTTTAATTTGAGGTGTAATTCATACAAAAGACTGTAGTCTTCGATATTCTTCAAGTACATCAATTCCTCTTCACTTTAAGTAAAAAAAAATGTCATCTGCAATAACAGAGTTTTATTTTCATTTCTGAGAGAAAGTTTGTAAATTATACTGGGTTTTCATTTAATTATTTCTAGACCTTTTGTTGTATAACATTAAGTACAGTTGAGTAAAGTAATCGATTAGTTACAATGGCCAGTCAAACACTTATTTTGAGTGGCCTTTCCCTGCACCCATCTTAGCTTTTTATTTATTTATTTTTTTTCCTGCCTGATGTGCAGGCTGGGTATAGAAGAAATGGTACTAGGGCTATTATAGCTAAAGTTAGATGGACATTGGCAGAAAGCAGAGAATACCAGAAGAATGTCTGTCTGTGCTTCACTGATTATGCAAAGGCTTTTGACTGTGTGGATCACAACAAGCTGTGGCTGACTCTGAGAAGAATGGGATTCTAATGAGAACCTGTACTTGGACCAAGAGGCAGTCATCAGAACAGAGCAAGGAAACACGGGCATCCGCCAGGGATGTATTCTGTCTCCATACCTTTTCAATCTGTATGCAAAACAGGTCATTCGGGAGGCTGGGCTGTAGCTGTATGAGAAGGAATGTGGCATTAGGCTTGGAGGAAGATTCATCAACAACCTGCATTATGCAGATGACACAACCTTGCTTGCTGAAACTGAAGAGGACAAAAAGTGCTTGCTGCCAAAGGTCAAAGACTGCAGCGTTGAATATTAATTGAAGCTCAATATCAAGAAAACAAAGATTCTCACCACTGGACCAATTGGCATCATCAGTATGGATGGTGAAGATTGAAATAGTTAACAGTTTTAGTTTGCTTGGCTCCACAGTTAACACTCTTGGTACCAGCATCCGGAAATCAAGAGATGAATTGCAATGGGAATGTCAGCTGTCAGTAACCTCTCCAGACTATTAAAGAACAATGAAGTCAGGCTAGAGACTAAGGTGTGCCTGTTCCAGGCTATAGTCTTTGCAATTGTGTGCTATTCATCAGAGAGTTGAACAGTGACGAGGGATGATAGAGAACTGATTACTTTGAGCTGTGGTGCTGGAGAAGAGTGTTGAATATACCATGGACTCCTAGGAGAACAAAAAGGGTGAAGCCAGCCTGCTCCTTGGAGGCAAGGATTCTGAAGCTTCATCTGACATACTTTGGGCATGTTGCAAGGAGGGACCAGTCCTTGGAGAGGGACATCATGTTTGGAAAGGTGGAGGGACAGCACAGGAAAAGGTGACCTTCGATGAGATGATCAATTCAGTGATTGGAGTAATAGGAGTAGGTGTGTCGGAGACAATGAGGTTGGCACAGGACAGAGCAAGGTTTAGGGCTCTTGTACATAGGATCACCATGAGCCGCAAGCAACTCGGTGGCACGTAACACAACAACAACTAAATCTAAATTTATTAAGATCGATTCAGCCAATATTTATTGTATGCCTATGCTAAATAATAAGTATACAAATATAAATAAGTACTGCTACATGATTTCTATGAGTCAAAACTAACTAGATATCAATGATACCAGATAATCTCATGAGAGCACTTAACTTTATAAATCCAAAATAAACAAAAGAGTTTCTCTCCAGAAAGTTCCCACTCATGGCTAATTCCATGTTTCACAGAATAGAGCTTAGCTTTTTTTAGATTTATAGACACAAATTTCCAGGTTGTCCTTCTGTGATGCCACTAGGTGAGTTCGACCTACCAGCCTTTTTCTTTAATAAAATTTTTTATTTTAATTGTGATTTTAACAAAAGTTTACCAAAAAGGTCGATTGTCATTCATTCATTTTTACGTATTTTACTCCTTCTCCTTCCATTCTTCCTCCTCTAGTTCACTTTTTTAAAAAAGTATTCGTTCATTGTTGCACAATTACCCCTATTCCTCTCCCACCACCCCCAGTCCTCTTTGCAATGTGCCTTTTATTCTGGAATGTTATCACACATATAATGCCTAATCATATATTGCTTTTAAACAGCTCTTACCTTCATCTGTTCCAATGCAATGTTCATTATCTATCTAGTCTTATCCTATTCTCCTCCCATTAAACCTGCTTTATAACAGTGACACTATGCAGTATTTGTCCTTTTGTGATTGAGATATTTCACTCAGCATTCTGTCCCAGCAGGCTTTTGGTTGACTGTTACACATATATCATTTGTGCCACCCAGAGACCTTCAGGTTTATGGGTGGTTTTATATTCTTGGGGGACTGATAATTTCCCCATTACAGCTTTTGCAGTGAATAAGTGGAAATTTCCCTCTGGCCTTCAAATCTAAATTTCCTCCTTTTTACCAATCCTCAGACAGTTAGGTTTAGCTTAGGGCCCCAGGTGTTTAATCAAGTGCTAGTCTGGGTCCTCTGTAATTCAGAGTACACAGGCTCTGTGGTAAACAAAGTCAATAGGAAGGGTGACCCCTTGACAAAGCTATAGGTTTAAAACTTATTCATTCCCACCTATCACTTATTTTTGTTTCTTTCTTCAGTTTTGACTCGACCAAGGCCCCACAGTGATGACTACAGCACAATGAAGAAGATCCCACCCAGAAAGCCCAAACGAAGCCCCCACACAAAGCTCAGTGGCTCCTATGAAGAGATATCAGCCCCCAAACCGGGAGAAGCTAAGCTTCCACAGTCCTCATGTAAGATTGGGTTCCACCAAGACCCGATGGTCATGCACAGGGCTGCTTCCACGGATGGACCTCACCAATGCTCTGTAGGTCTGACCATGTCCCAGGAGGAGGAGGATGAAACAGAGCCAGTGTATATCGAGATGGTGGGAAACACCATCAAGACTGGTTGCACTGAGGCTGACAGCCCAGACCAAGGGGAGTCGGTATATGAGGAGATGAAGTACTTTCTGCCAGAGGAAACCAGCACCAGCTTGGGCATGGTGTCCTTCATGGCAACATCATCTCCGCCTCTGTTTTTTGAGAACCGAAAACCTGTTGTCTTTGAGGATAGCGAGATCACCTGCCAGGCAGCTGGGAGCTTTAAAGACATTTGTGACATTCCACCCCCTTTCCCGAATCTGCTTCCACATCGCCCTCCACTTCTGGTGTTTCCTCCCACCCCTGTGACCTGCTCCCCTGCTTCTGATGAATCACCTTTAACTCCCCTGGAGGTGAAAAAACTGCCTGTCCTGGAAACCAACCTAAAATATCCGGTCCAGTCAGAAGGCTCTAGTCCTTTGTCTCCACAATATTCCAAGAACCAAAAAGGAGAGAGTGACAGGCCTGCTTCCCCTGGCTTAATGACATTTAATGGGTCAAACAAAAGTTCTCCACCTTCAACACCACCACCCCCTCCTCTGCCTCCTCCTGTTCCTCCCCCTGCGCCTCCTCCAGCTCCATATCGGCCCTCGACCCATTTTGCATTTCCTCCGGAGACATTTTTGGCTAACATGGGGAAAACAATGGCAAATACTGATTTGTCCAAAGTCCCTCCAAAGCCAAACTCTGCTCCAGTGAGTGGTGCATGCAGCTCTTTCTCCAAGCTTCCTTATTCCCCAGTGAAGGCCGTGAGAGCTGACCATAAGAAGTCCAACTCAAATTCCTCTTCACCGGTTCCCTACAGCCCTCCAAACTCAAGACCTCTCACCAGCCCTCTTGATGAGTTAACTAGCCTGTTTAACTCTGGAAGGAGCGTGCTCCGCAAGTCTGCAGCAGGAAGAAAAATTAGAGAGCCTGAAGGTAAGCAAGATAGACATGGCACCGTCTTTTGTGTCTGGGTAATTATGTATGTGTGTGCAAAATCCAGAAGGGAAGCTCAATAAGTGAAAAGTAGGTCAAGGCGAAGGAAACTTACCAAATAAATGACTAACCTACCCCCTATTTATTCTTCAAACAAATAAAGCTAATTGTTTGTTTAGCTAACAATTTCTTCTTAATTATAGGCCATTAATAAGTGGAATTGTACTTCTAAGTAGCAAAATGCTTGACTTTCACAAGTCATATGTTTCATTCCATAGAGTAAAATGCAATCTAGGAGAAAAGCATTAAATGAACAAATTATTATTTGCTTTTGTAACTACTGCTTATTAAAACCTCATGAACCTCATTTTACTAGCGATCTGAATTGGGTGAATTCTTCTTGGCTTATTCAAGGAAGCAAAGTTAATGAATTTCTAAAAAGACCTCATCATTTGGAAATACTGAAGACAGGGACTCAGAAGATAATGAGAATTATAGCGAGACCCCCAGGCATGATTTGTACATTTACTAATTATAGTTCCCTTTGGTGATGTTAAACAGTATTCTATAACACATATCCAAATCTCAACTACAACATTTTCAGTTCAAAACTAAAATTGCAGAACATCTATTTTCCTACAGTGGGTTTTTACAAAGCACTCATCTTGCTTGAAAAGGTTGGCTTGAGCTGCTTCTGACTTTTTCAAATATACATAAAATTGACAACTTTTACCATTTGCAGAGTAGGTGAAATAACAGAAAATTTAGCAGTGTGAGGGAAGGCCTTCCCCACACACCAGATTATAAGATTACTTAAGTAGGCGACTGAGATTTGTATAATTCTTGATGATCTAAAGGTAGAAAATAAATTTATACATTGGCTTGGCATATTTGTTTTTAGGAAAAGGAGTATTTTGAGTGAAACTTTATAAATAATACTGATTTTTAAAAATTCAATCTTTCAGAGATACATAATAACATTAATTAGTCTTTATTAATGCAATGGATTGATACTGTAACTGGGACAGTGAGGATTGGTGTGTCAGAATTAGTGAGACTGACTCAGGACAGGGAAGGGTTCAGAGCTGCTGTACATGGGGTCACTATGGGTCACAGGTAACTCAGCACATAACAACAATGACATATTATATTGGTTGTTTTTATTTAAGCCCCTTCTTTAGAGTCAACAAGACCTCATGGAGGGCCTTTGTATTTAAAAGTTGGTTGTTATTATATTTTGAAGGAACATTCTTCGAGGTGGTACAGCATTCTGTCAATTTGTTCTACTGAGGTAACCTGGGGTTGCTGTGATGCTAAACCTTGTGCCGTTGGGGTGTCAAATGCCATAACCGTTACCCATGGTAGGCAGTTTGGTGGAGCTCCCAGTTTAAGACAGGTTTGGAATCAAGAGTGGCATCCACTTTCTAAATAACATGCCTCCAGAGACTCTATGAATTTTGATAAATGTTGATAGTTACATAAAGGCTTCAAGTCTTTATTTCATGGAGTTGCTATGAATCATGCTTGACTCAAAGGCAATCAACAGCAACCACACTACAACTATTCTTCTATTGTGTATTCCTTTTTGCTTGCCCTGTTCTTATGTTTTGGATACTTTCTATTATTACAGTTATACAAAATTTCAAACTAAACTCAACAACTCACTTGCTTCTTAAAGAATTGAATGGCCATTATTAATATATTATTAATAAAATGAATGACACCTTGGAGATTTCTCTCATTAAAAGTATTAAATTTACTTTGACCTTTTAAAACCTAAAGCTATTTTTAGTCTCACCTGAAATATTTTTCCTATCAAATGATCCCGTGTGTGGCTAATTGTTCGCCCTGATCGCACCTAAGTGAATTACAGTCCAATTATTGTAAAGTTTGGATGTGAAAAATTCTCTGCCAAGGATTCAAGATACTCCCCTTGCCTCTTTGGAAGAGTGGCCTTGAGCAGAGTAAACTGTTTGTAATGTCATGGATGTTCTCAGTTAAGATGTACTGTGTACTCTCTTGTAAATAGACACTAAGAACACAATTCTTCTCTATCTATATTCCTTAGACTTTTGTGCAGTATTTCATAAATATTAATTTCCTTAAAAGACTTCATTTTCTGTCGGTTCCTGGATATGCAATTTAAAGCATACAGAATTAAACAACATCCAGGAGTTCAGGGAGTGATGGTACCGGCAAACATTTATAGATAGAAGATGTGACTGCCATTGGGGAGAAATAATATTGCTTTTGTTGATTGCTGTAGAGTCGAGCACAACTCATAGGAACCCTATGAACAAGAAGCCTGAAGCCTTGTTATAACTGTAGTCATTTATCAAAGCTCATAGAGTTTCCAGAGGCATGTTGTTTAGGAAGTGAAGACATATTAGCAGCAAGTAAGTACATAGTTCTTATTAAGATACAGATATTGTTTAATATTGTATTTTATTTTAAATGGTTCTGAGATGAGATATCTTCGGTTATTCTCCCCCATTCTACAGCTGGAAAAACTAAGACAGAAATAGTCATTTGACTTAGAGTGTCTCTCCTCACAGGAAACAACCGTGACTTTAATCCTGTAACTTTGTCTCCAGATGCTTTTCTCTTAACAAATTCCTAGATGTTCATTCAAAGAGGGGGGAAAGAAAGAAAGGCATGTTTGGGTTTTTTGTTTTGTTTTGTTTGTTTTGTTTTGTTTTGTTTTTTACCAGAGGACATGAAGTAAGAGTCTTACAATTTGAGTGTAGAGAAATTTTCCCCTAAGAAACTCAACTATTCCTTCACAACTTATGTCTGTGGATAAAAAATTGAGATGTAGTAAACAGGGTAGTTTGCCCTTAAAATTAAGAGTGATTAAATGTTTAATAGTCTATGCTTTTCTAGGTACAATTATCCCATTAATTAACAAAATGCTTTTCATCTGATGCTGTAATGTGACTAATATCATTATGCTAATTATTTCTAGTTGCTTAGTTTCAAAAAAATATGAGACCTAAATCCAATGATGAAGGGGGGAGCTTCAATGGCTTGTTCGGACCACTAGGGTGCTCCATTGCTCTAAATCGCATCTCATTGCAGCGTCTACTTGAGTTTATACAGCATAACAAGGAGGGTTGTTATTCACCACTTCTTGAAAAAGCTCAAGATGTTAGAGCATTGACAAAAATGCAGTACATCCTCAGAATCTAGATGTTGAAAATGAAGAAGATCCCTGCTGACTCAATGAATAGCTGCATTCACAAAATATTTGTTAGAAACATTCTCTTTTATTACCATGTTAGTGCTGTGCATCCTTTTTTTATAAAATACAAATAGGCACTTCAAATTCTTTAAACCAAAATGATAGTATACAGTATTTCTTTGTCTGTAATAGGTGGCTATCAAACCCTAGCTTAATGATAAATCTCCTTGAAAAAGCAACTGGCATGTGAATGTATTTGATAGACCTAGTTTTTAAGGCATTTTTACTTTAATAAGAATTGTTTAAGCCCAATGTAAATTATTGTTACTATTAAATACTTTCTAGACATTCTAAATAATTTGAGTTTTGAAATCAGAATATAATATGAATAATGATTTTCAATTTTTTTTCTCTTTCTTCTATGGGACCATTTGTATAAAAATTTCCTTTGTGGAGAAACTCAACCATATACAGAAGTAGAGAAAACAGATTAATGGTCCTTCTCCATGGCTAATCCTTTCTCATCTCTACCTCCACCTACCTGTATCTTCCACTAACCCTGAGTTATTTTTGAAGTAGAGCTCCAAAGTCATGGAATTTTAGCGAAAACATAAAGAAAAATACATTTTTAAAAGACACTTAATATAATTCGGTCAGTCCATTTAAATTCTTACCTACATGAGACTGCTACCTAGGGCAGAAACCTGATTCTGGAAGGCACATCATCATATTTTATGACATAAACAACATAATCCTCAAGGGCTACGTTTCCACCCAGACAAAGGCAATCTATATGATCTTCCACGTAAGCTAGTCCCTGAGGTGGCCAGCTCATCATTCTACTATATTATATAATGTCTCTTCTACCTTTAGAGGTAGGCAAAAAGTTGTGGATATCTAAATATTATATACAAACTAAATGAAGCATAAAGATCAAAATTCAAAAAGACAGTGACACTCAAATTCATCATTTTATGAGAATTCAAAGTTTCTATACCCAGTTGAACTCAGTTACCCATATTTTATTTAAAAACAAGAACTAAAATGCCCTAAATACAATAAATTATCACTGAATTTCTAGTATGAATCTGTGATGTACCCAAAAACAGTGTTTGTAAATTTCCGTTCTCTGTTCCTTGTGTTAAAAATAGAAGTTGTGACATTATTTTCATTTAATCTCTCTTGCATTCTGATGTAGTTGCAGTGCAAGACATAGGGGCTGCCTTGTGCAAAACTCCACATCCCATAATAAGATGCAAAGCCCAACATCCCATAGTCATCTTGCCTATGCCCAACGCCTTTTAGATTTTGTCCTTCCCAAAGCAGTTAATTTTTTTCACTCCCAAGATACTTCCTTTTGAAGGTGATTTTTATTTGTGATGGGCAATGACATGAGGGTTCATAAAAATTATAAAATGCATGAACAGAATGAGGACAGAGTTTACTGATGTGTGATTGATTGTCCTCAATGATCTGGGGCTGCCTGCATTCCTTTCTAACATAAAAATCTTTCTCCTATAGGAGTGTCCCATTCCTTGTCTCTTCTAGCCAATTTGAATCAATACTAAATTTTCCTCATTTTCCAAGTGAAAAAGTATGTTGAGACTAAACTAAAAATCCAGGCAAAACATTTCCATTTATCAAATGAAATATAAGTCAAGGGGTTGATTGTCGTGATTGTTGATTGTCTTCGAGTTGAGCAGGACTCATAGCAACCCTATAAACAAAAGACCTGAGGCCCATCTACAAGTATCAACATTTATCAAAGTTTATAGAGTTGCTGGAGACAAGTTGTTCAGGAAGTGGAGCAGCAATTGTA